AGCTCGGTTGAGCATCTATGATCCACAGGTCACTGAGGACCAGATCCAGAGGGACCTTACAATGAACAAGTTTGACTGGGACCATCCTCTACATCTTCAGCCCATGAGTCCCACCACCGTTAAGCAAGTGAGTGTGGTTTGGAATGCCTATGAAGCAACAAAAGATGCCCATGGAATCTGTATTCTGACGGAGTGGGATGAGTTCAAGACCCTGGATTTCCAAAGGATATATGACAACATGCAGAAACCAGCTTTTGTTTTTGACGGAAGGAACATTGCGAATGTTGATAAGCTGAGGGAGATTGGTTTCATTGTTTACTCAATTGGTAAGCCACTCGATCCATGGCTCAAGGACATGCCTGCAGTGGCATAAATATGATCACAAATCCAATGGTTCGTGTTGGCTTTTAATTTGATTCTTTATTATTTTTTCTTAATGGGATTATGTTGCTTCTTGCTTTCCCATACTAGTACTAGTCAGGATAACTGGACTCACCATGATGGTGAGAGCAAGAGGCTGTGTTTTGCCTTCTGTTGTTATATTTGATGATATCGCCAACTCTTGTACTAGTTTGTTAGAGAACTTGGATAAAATATCATTAATTTTGGGAATAAAATCTTCACCTCTAAAATCCTTTATTGTGAACTGTAGTTAGTACTAATGTGTTATTCAGCTTACTATGGATTAAGTAATCAGAAGTTGAATATCAAAGGTGAAGTTCAAATTCACGGAACACTGAGTAATTCACTGTATCAGTTACTTCTGGTCACCGGAAGTAAGAATATATTTTTTTAAATTATTTTTTTAAAAGATATAAAAAAATAAAATAATTTTATATATTTAAAAATTCTTAATTATACTTTTTATGAATAGAAATGGCAATAAGTCCTTGTAGAGGTGAGGACCTCTCCCCAGTAATTTTAACAGGTTGTAGGATATTGGGTCAAGTTGGTTAAACGGGGCGAGCAAATTACTGTACAGTCCGTGATACAGCACATATTGCACGTGGTGCAAATGGACGATCTACGTTCACGCACGTGTCCGGACAGCAATAGCTCCGATCCAAAAGTTTCTTACATCATTCATCACACCAGCAGGCCCAGAATTCCACAGTGGCATGTCCTGTAATTTTCCGACAAATTCTCACCCATTTTAGTAACTACATTTCCCGTCCGCGGCTCGGATCGCCTGTGACATTCCTATAAGACCTTGCTCCTACTTTCCCCAATCCACCTCGTCGAATCTCCGGTCCTCCCCATTTCGATCTTCCCAAAATCCTCCTAGTCTCTCCTCTCTTTCTCTTCGATTCGATTCTTTCTTTCTCGGATTCGGGGTATCCCCTATCGATTGACCCCAAGATCATCCCTGGCCGTCCGCTGAATTTGATTCTAGGGTTAGGGTTTTGTGAATTCCCGCAAAATTCTTCCATTTCGAAATTTTTTTCTTTGATCTAATAAATTGAAGGCTGTATATTGCATTTCTCGGTTGAAATTTATCTGGGTTCGTTGAGTTTTGTACGATTCGTTATCCTCACTGTGTCCATTTCTTGTGAATCAGTCTAATTTTCGAGATTATCTGGGATCTAGAATCTCATAGATTCTTAGTTGGAATTACATTTGTTCAGTTTTGTTTCATTTCATCCTATTCTCAACTTCTTCTGCAGGAAGGAAATTTCTGGACTTTAATTTGTTCAGGTAAGAGCAAACTCCTGTAGCTCAATTATACAAAATTTAAAGTTTCTATTTGGTTGATTATGTTATTGCTTCTTAGGAACAGTTACTATTTCAAGTTTAGTCCTTTTTTGACGACCTACATTGTCCGTTATTAGAATATAGTTGCCTTGGACTTGCAGGGTTCAAATGATTCACAAACGTCCCTATATTGAAGAGGAGTCTCAGGAAGTTGCTTCTAAACACCAAAGACGGTTGGAGAACATGAATCACCTTTCACAAGTCATCAATGGTGTTATTCCATATGATTGCCACAAGAACTACCATGTGTCTGGTACTGAAAAGTTGACTTACATCTATTATTATCACTGTGAATTACCAGGTTAAGAGCTTGCTACTTTGTTTTACCTTTTAGGATGGTGTGTGGATCCCAGAGACTTCATAGCATCTAATCAAGGGCTTTTAGATCTTTTGTTCAGTAAATGGCGTTATCTGTTAAACCAAAAACAAGAATTTTTCGTCAATTGCACTGTGCATGTTGTTATTCTGAAATATTATTTAACCAACAGAAATGCATGCATCTTGGGTTACTGCATTACTCTTTATAGATTGTATTCCCGTAGGTGAAAGTGAATGTAAAGTGGATTTTTTTATTTTTTTATTTTTCATTTTTATGTTTCGTTGGCAAAGTGGTGTCTAGAGAAGTTTATATATGTTTTGACTATTAGATATTGCGCAAATGTGAATCTGTTAAAAGCTTTCACCTTTGTAAATCTAGTGCACTAATCTGGTAGTGCTAACAAACTAACTTCCATTTCTTGTTGCCTTCATGTGTTTCAATAGTTACACCAGCATAGATATGCAGGTTTCATAAATCATAACCATACTGATACAGTGAAACTGAAATCTTATTATAAGCTTTTATAACTGACTTAGTTCCTATTTGAGAAGGTGAAGATGAGGACAGCTTCAGTAAATGCAATGAAAATGGACCTGATGCTTCCAGCTGCATTCCTCATTTTTTGTGGGTAAACAGCAGCATTATGGAAATGGATGCTGAGTTGGAGACAGCACATAATTTGTCGCTGTTTCCAGAGTATTTTGTACCTGGACAGGACTTAAGGACTTTCCTTCAATCTGATGAGACCTATTCATCTCCTATTGATTGTTCTCCTCAGAGACGGGTTCCTATTGGACAAGAGTATCAAGCTGATCTTCCAGAATGGAGTGAACAGGATTTGAAGAGCCTTTCAGCTCATCTACATGCCTCAGACTATCAAGTTGAACCTTTGCAATCATCAAAATTAGGCTTTATGGCTACTTGTGTCATTCCCATGCGTGAAGTTGAAGCACCTAAAAACAATTCCTGTGAAGGTTTGGGAACCAGAATCGATTGTGAGTGCCTTGATCAGGGTTCTGTCAGATGCACAAGACAACATGTGGAAGAAGCTAGGGAGAAACTAAGGGAGAACCTTGGACTTGAGATTTTTGAGCAATTGGGTTTCTATGACATGGGGGAGGAGGTTGCGAAGAAATGGACAAAGGAGGAAGAGCAAACGTTCCATGAGGTTGTGCTTGCCAACCCTATGTCATTGGGTAAGAACTTTTGGGACCATCTCCCTGCTGTTTTTCCATCCCGAACAAAAAAGGACCTTGTCAGCTATTATTTCAATGTCTATGTGCTTAGGAAGCGTGCCGAACAGAATCAATTTGATCCTGTAAACATTGATAGTGATGATGATGAGTGGCAGAGACCTGAACGTGGATCAGCTGTAGATGATGACAATTCTGTAGTTGAATCTCCACCTGATCAAGTTGTTTCTGCCTACCAAAAGGATAGCGAGGTTGAAGATTGCCATGAAGGCATTGTGAATGAGGATGAGTCGGATTCTTATAAAGATGCATCTGGTGCTGTATGCAGAGATAGAACTGATGAAGAAGATGAGGGAGATATAGATGAAATCTCTGGACCCCACATCAAAATTCTCACTAGTGATTGTGGAGATGGAAATGCCTTCCAGGTTTTGGGCAAGATACATGGAACTGATTTGTATGATTATGATATTCAAGATGATTCATGCACATCATTTGAGTATCAAAGATAAAATGTCGTTGTGGAGATCCATCTGAAACGGGGATGGATGTAAATCAGCCTAGTGGGGGGATATGTCCAGGTGTGGTGGAGCTTGGATATCAATGCCATCACTGAAGAGATCTTTTACTTGCATGGTATTTGACTGAAGTGTTTTCCTTGGCAGTTTGATGCCTACTAGTGTCCCCTGGCTTTGCTTCCCTTCAATCTAAAAAACTTAAGTTGGCCTTATTACTGATGCTTTAATGGTTAAGAGTATCACCGATTTTGATGGAAGATCAACCCATCTGATGGCTTATCCAATTTTCTTTGAAATCTTCTGTATGTTGTAGACAAGGGAAGCATAGATTACAAATTACTACTTAAAAGGTGGCTGTTGGTCATTCAAAGTAATTGTGCATGGATATTTGTCTTCAATCTGCAGCTTGCATAATGTCAAAAGCAATTTGCAAATCCTGGTTTTTAACTCATCAGGATCAGTCTCCCATGAGTGGAACAGTGAATGACTTGAGGATTTCAACATCGGGTCGGGTTCCCATGGAATTGGATCTTGACTCTTGAATTTGAAGTATTCTTTCATAGATAATGATTCTTGTATTTATTCAGTGCTAACCCCTTTTTTTATTGGTGATTATTTTTAGAATTATTTGTTGTTTTAGGCTTTTAGCACTGTATTGCTTGAGCGAAGATAACTTTGCTACCATTATGTATACTGAATTTGAGAATGAATTCCATTCATTTTCACTCCTTATAAATCCATGACTAAAAATTTTGAACGTCTTTCCACAGGAAGAAAGTGATAGCTTAGCTTTGCTTACTTTCATCCAAGCTGATCGGTAGATCTTCTCTGAAGTTCTTTTTGTTATTCTTATAAGCTGTTAGTCTTGGCCATTGATTTGGCAAGAATGAGAAACAAGAAAAGTGAATGAATTGGGAATTGGATGTTGCAGGAGTTGACTAAAGGAGAGACAGTCCTTAAGACAAGATGTGTCCTACCTTCTTAATGTCAGGTTGATTCCACAGATTTGTCTGTAAGAAGATTTGCGTTGCAAGTAAGAACAATACTAGTGGGGTTTCTTTTTAACCTTTATTACATCTCCAAATTGTACTTTTGTAAAGTACAAAACTCAACTAACCCAGAAGAATGGAGGGAAATAATGGGGAGAAAAAGGTAGAATTGTATTAATTTTCTAATAAATAAAAAATTTTCTACTTTGAAGAAAAAAACAATTCTACCTTTCTGGGATTTTGATTTCCTGAGAGGGAAAAAAAATGTTGTTCTGTTCCCTTGGATCTGCTCTGTATATGATTGCTTCATGGCCAGCCTGTTAAGTGGAAGCGACAAGCAAAGTCTACCCTTTAAGATTAAAAAAACTAAAGATGAGAGAAATAATTATGGTGCTAACCAATGATATGTAGTTGGGAACCAAGAATCTTGGGTAGCTACTATGCATACTGCTTAGTGACACAGTGCCTAAAGAAGATAATATAAACAAAACAGAGTCACCAACATAGCTTAATCTTTACATCAGTGTCAAGCCACATCTGTGTTAGTACTGCAGCTTACCAATATGCCATCTGAGAAAAATAAATTGTGTCGATGGACAATGTCCCTACAGATAATAAATCTAAGTATATTTTTTTTTTAACAAATTCACAATGTGTCGGATTCGAACCATTACCTTAGTTGGAAAAATACATTTATACATGATCTGACGTCATTGGATCTTTGATCCAAGTACAATCTAAGTATCTGTTTGACTATAAAGTTATATTTGATTTGATTAATTACAAATTTTTTTATTTACAAGAAAATATTAAAAAAAATTTAAATTACATTTTCAATATAATATAAAAAACTATTTAATCACTTCGATTAACCCATTAAAATTTATGAATTTTATCAAAACATAATAAAGATACGATGGATGTATGTGAAGCCAAAGATATCATACTTGAGGAACAAGTTGGTTAAAAGTCTAACTCATTTCATCATCTTCTTCACACCTAATTCTAAATAATTCATCACTTCCAAATGCAAGGAAAGGAGGATGAAATACGCAAACTACAGATGGTTTGAGCGTACTGCTCATACCTAAAACAATCCTCTGCTGGATCGATCTCCGCCGTCAGATGAAATCATGTTACCGCCACGTGCTCCTCGCTCCCTCTCCCCCTCTATTCCACGTGGTCGTGAGGGAAACGATCATACACTCGCCACATACGATCGGGTTGAAGCCAGGAAAAGTCCCTCAATGGCCAATGCTAGCGGTAGCGGGTCTATTTGATTTGTACACTCTCGAGAGTGGGTTTTGAGTCCAACTAATGTTGAGCCTTGCTTTCCATGCAAGGATTTGCCTTTGTATAGTAGCAGCATCAATATTAAAGAGAGAGACAGAAAGAGAGGAGAATTTTAGAGAGATAAACAGATCTTCTGCTGCCAAAAATCTGCACTCACTTAGCCAATCACTTTCACTTCGATTCTCTGCTTAGAAAACACAGAGAAATTGAGAGAAAATACACATTCAATACTCTTTTTAGGGTTCTTCATCGACCCAGATCTTGTTCTTTCCTATCAAGAATTCAAAACTTCAACATGGGTTCTTCTTTTCTCACCTTAAGGACCTAAAATTTCCATTCTTTCTCCAGAAAAATGGGTTCTTTTTGATCTGGGTTTTCTCTGTTTCCTCTGTTTCTTGCGCTTCTAGTTGGTTCTGGAGATCCGGGTTTAATGGAGCAGGATCAAGAAGAGAAGTATGTGTGCAAGTTGTGTAATAAGAGCTTCTTGAGTGGAAGGATCTTGGGCGGTCATATGAGGGGCCATATGGTTGTGAAATCCTCTGAAGAAGGAGGAGTCAAACAGGGGAAGGGCAATGTGGGTGTTCAAGGCTATGGCTTGAGGGAAAACCCCAAGAAATCTTGGAAAAGTTCAAAGCCAGAGTTCGAGTGCAAAGATTGTGGGAAGGAATTTGAGTCACCGAAAGCTCTGTTTGGTCACATGAGGCATCATTCCGGAAAAGAAAAAGAAGGAGCTGACTGCAAAGAATGTGGGAAAGAGTTTCGGAATTTGAGGGCTCTCAGGACTCACATGAGGTCACATTCTGTGAAGGTTGTTGGGGTTTCTCAAGAGTCAGGGTCTGCTTGTTCGAGCCAAAATCTAGTCTTTGAGAGCTTGCGTGTTAAAAGAAAGAGATCGAGAACAATAAGGTACAGGATTACTCCTAATTCTTCTTCTGTTTCTGGGTTGAATGAGTCTAGTTCTGTGAATCAAACTGAGGAAGAGGAAGCAGAGGAGATGGCCCTGTGTTTGATGATGCTATCTAGGGGTGTGGTGGGGAACTTTGACGGGTTTAATTTTGTTGGTAAATCTGAGATTAAATCTTTGCATCAAAATGAGCAAATTCTGGAGAATGACAGTGGAAATTCTCCTCCTGCTGGGGATTATGATGATGAGTCTTTCATGATAAAAAAACCCAGAGTGGAGAAATCAAATTCTGGGGTTTCAGTTTCCACTGGTGTTTTCTTTAAGAAGAAAATGAATGAATTTGTGGAATTTGATGGGAAGGTGGTTGATACTGAGGTTCAGGAGGAAGAAAGCCCAAATGAAACATTTGAATTTAGGTCCGTTGAAGTGAAATCAATTCAGGCTTTTGGACCAATCAAGCCCAGTTCTTGCAAATATTACAATTCTGATGGCTTTAATGATGCTCAGGAGGATAACTTGTACAGCTGCAAGACCTGCAACAAGATTTTCCATTCCTATCGTGCACTTGGAGGTCACCAAACAATCCACAGATCAAACAAGAGCTCGACTGAGTCGAAGACTGGGGATTCTGAGGAAAAGATTCAGGCTTTTAATAGCAATTCAACTGAAATTGGGGCTAGTTCTAAGCTTGTGAAGCTTGAGTCTATAGAGGATTCAGTGCAGCATGCAATAGGTGGATCAAGGGATTCTAAGCTGCACCAATGTCCACTCTGCTTCAAGGTTTTTGCATCAGGCCAGGCTTTGGGTGGCCACAAGAGAGCTCACATGAGAGAGAAGCAGCATGAAATAAAGCAGGGATTCTCTGATAATTCTGGTGAATTGGATCTTAATGTCCCTGTTATGTTTGATGAAGAGGCTGATACTGATGTCCGATTCAGATCATGTTGGGTTGAGAATGACTGCAAGCATGAGCCAATGGTGGGTCTGGTAGCTAACTGAGGGGAGTTCATGTTTGAAGGTAAAGAAATTTGATGGCCTTTTCCTTTTGTGAATTTTGATACTATGATGGGGAAGTTTTGCCCTTTGCTACATCAATGTAGGAATACAGAATAGGAGAAACCCTTTTGCTTTTGCTGTCCCTATTGTCAGAATCTTTAATATTGTTGCATCATTCTTTTGTTCCAAAGTATGAAAGAAATGAAAGGGGTACAATTTTTGTGAAATGAGTAAATCTTTGTGCTCATGCGTTCGAGAGTTAAATGCCTAACAAAACCTTAACCCAAGCATAGCAAAGCTTGAATTGAAGTCTTGTTTGCTATGAGAATTTTTTAAAGAAAGAAGAAAATTTTGAAGAAATTCAGAAAGAAAATGTGGGATCATGCTAATGCATGTATTGATCACTCGCTTACATGGGTGAAGCCATATGCATTCACAAGAAGCCCTCTGGAAATTACATCTGATGGGATTGTATTGTCAGCTTTGAACAACAGAGTAACTAGCTGGAGATGATTTGGCATTAAGATAAAACTAAATCTGATTAGACTATTATTAGACATTCTAATACTTTTAATGTCGAAACGTCTTAATTTTTTCCTTTTTCTTAAGAAAAAGATTACGTGACACTAATCGTGCCCGACTTTGTGACGGTCTCTAGTTGTCATAATCGAGACGCGCTAAATTGCCATGCGAATGTGAATTAATTGATCGTCTTGAGCGAGCATCGCGAGCCTAACATCGCGACCATGACAAATTTGGGTTGAATTAAACTTCTTCCAGCTCTATGTATATAGCCAGGCACCAAGGTTTCAGTGGAGTTGACAAAAATGAACCGAGACGCGCAAAATAGCCGCGTAAAATTGCCGCGTGAATGTAAATTAATTGATCGTCTCGAGCGAGCATCGCGAGCCTAACCTCGCGACCATGACAAATTTGAGTTGAATTAAACTTCTTCCAGTTCTATATATATAGCCAGGCACCAAGGTTTCAGTGGAGTTGACAAAAATGAAAATTAAGAGAAGAACCGTAAGGATGACAGGGATAGTGGTGCTTCTGATCATCTTGATAATTGCCAACCATGTCTTGAATGGGGGTTGTAGCAGACCGTTGGAAGGGGGGAAATTAGGCCGAGTAATGGCACAGCGGTCTCGCAAGCAAAAGGTCCTGGCTCGCCTTCTGGACCATGTAATCGCTCCTACGTACCCTGCCCCGGTGGTGGCAATAACTGTGAGCCCCCTTGTAAAATTCATTCGTGATGCTTGTTTTTTATGTTTATTCGTTCTGTGTTGTTAATATATTTCAAGGTTCCCCTATGTTTTGCTGGGAAAAAAAAAAATTCCAGCAATTGCTGTATATATTTGCTTGATGTTTGAAGTAGCATGCTATAGTTGTTTTCGTTTCTTTTCTTTTCTTGGTAATTAGTACACTGTTACAGTCTGTCCTTTTTTGCTGTAAAGAGAATTGTCTACTTTGTTGATTGAGATCATGTTCAAGTTAATCAAGCAATGCCGCCAGAGATAGCAAAACTTGGTTAATTTGTGTGTTGTCACCTAAGTTCTATTTTCATTCTTTAATATCATGTTCTTTAAGTAAGTTATACCTGAATCCCGTGACCCAATGACTATAAATAAAGTTGTAAAGTGTATTTTTTAATTTGTGTTTTCACCTAAGCTTTATTTTCATTATTTAAGTAAGTTATACTTGAATCTCGTAACCCAACGATTATAAATAAAATTATAAAATGCATTTCTTAATTCAAGAATTAAGATTTTAATCTCTTGCCTTCAAATGTAAACCCGTTTAAAAAAGAAGTAAATTATTTCAAATTAAAAATTAAAGAATAATTTATTTATAAAAGAATAGGAAAATAACAATTAGGTGGAGATAATTTAGCATTAAAGGAGAGGGGATAATTTAACTATTATTGAAATGAATAAAATTTTACCATTTGTTACGAATTTGATGCACCTTAAATAAGGCAATTACGACCGTAGGTGCCCATTGGAGTTGCCCTTTAAGAAATTGTTCAACTCATATTCAAACTTTTTAATATTATTTAAATATAAATCATTTTACTGTATTATATTTATTTTATTTTTTATATTAAATTATATAATAAAGATTATATCTGACTCAATCCACTTATATATTATACAATTTAAATTTAATTTTTCTTTTTAATTTCAACCATGCTAGTTAAGTCTAGGGCAACTACCGTAATGCCTTACCATATTTGTGGTCCATAGACTTAACATTAAAAAAAAAAAAAAAACCTTAATAAACAGAGCAAATTTTCTCCCCGCGTTCTTCGTCTGTGCATCATGTGCTAATCTCTGTATGAAACCTCCATGGAACAAAACCAATGGCCTCAGCAACAACCGCCAAACCCTATCCCATACTACTCTTCTCAGCAATTTGCCTACTATCCTCTATAATCTCAAAAACCTAACGCTGAAACCCTTGAATTTCCCGCCAAAACTGTCCTTGTTCCTCCCGGGAATGATTCTTACGCTTCCTTGAGCTCATACCCACATGGGAATGATGCCTACGACTCCCACACCCAGGCTTCTGTGACGTACTATCCTAATCAGACTGTTGATGTTGCAGCGCAGTATTCGGACCCGAATGCTCACAATTCTGCAATCAAAGTGGCAATCCGGTTGTATGGAGTCGACCCAGCTGCCGATGCAGCAACTGTAAGTTGTTGAATTCGTTGGATGTGTGGGATATGTTTTTCATACAATTAATGAACTTTTAATTATTTGTGTTAAATCCCCTTTGTTTTGTGAATTGGGTGTCTAAAAATAGCTGAAAGCCTGAAACTTTGAGAGTGATGATTGATGGTGAAGGGATTGATCCATTGGCTTTTGCAGGAACTACGACTTCGATGTGAAGAAGGGCGATTGGGAATAATAAAAATTGTTAAAAAAATTTCATGGTCCATGCGTAGAATTAAGGGTCTGCTTGGTTGGTATTAAAGTGGAAGTAAGTAGATTTCTGAGAATTAGGATGGTTTGGTTCTCCCTATATTGCCAAGTTTTGTTCAAATGTCTGATCAACTTAGAGGAGGCTTCTGTCTTCCCAAAATAAAGTCAAGCAGATAAGATTTTGGCAGTTAGATAAATTTTGGTGGTTGGCATTCTTGGGACTTGAGCAATGAGAATGTACAAGCTTCTAGAAACCTTGATTTTGCTTACCTGCTTTTATAATTTAGAAAGTCATGTTTTTTTTCTTTTCTGGTGGTTGGCTTTATGAGGAAAGATAGATGCAATCTTACTTCTGAGTTTTCTAACTCTGCAGTATATGTGGTCAGATGGTTCAGTTGAGATCTTCGTTTATTCTATTTGACCTGGTATTATTTCTCTGAAAATAATTTCCACTAGATTATTTGCATCTCTAAATTAAGGGGCCAAATTCTGTCTATATGACACACATACGTTGGAGTTCTATCTTATTAGGAGTTCGAAGTCATGTAGCTAATTTTGCATGAGAAATGGTGCTGCTTTTTAATCCTTGTCTCAGCATTCTTTTTTCTGATTTGGCAGTCATTTTTTAAGGGAAAAAATTAGAGCCATTTTCTATTGCAGGGGGAAGATGTTTTGGGACGTCATGCAGATCTAATATTTGAGAAAGATGGGGATGGCTTGGGTTGAAGCAAAATTAAATTTAGGAAGAGAAATTTGCAGAAGCCTGGGCTTCCCATATGAGTGCTTTTCTCTTTAAACAAAAATATTGGTCTTTTGTTCATGATCTGATCTTTTGAGTGCCTGACCAAACCCGTTTCTGTGTACTTTCAATATGAGCGTTTCTAGATGTCTGGGCTCATTTGTCCAGTCGGGAAGTGAATAAATGAAACCCAAGGAGACATGAAATGAAGAATGGAGAATGGAGATTACAGTCTCCTTGTTGATCAGAAAAAGAGATTACAGTCTCCTTGTGAATATTAACATCTCTGAATGCATTTAATTCAAACTTCAGAAATTAATGTTTCCGATGTATTTGCGGGGTGTCTTCATTGCTTCAAATGGTATTTCATAGTTGAGCAATGCAAATTCGAGCCCTACTCAATGGGTTAACCCTAAGGCACTGCCTCATGTGAAACACAACTGCAAGAAGCGTCCAAAGGAAACTAAGATTTTCCAAGCTACATATTGTGAAATTTGCCAGATTGATTGTTCTAGCAAAGATGTTCTTGATCAGCATAAGTTGGGGAAAAAGCACAAGAAGAACTTGGAGAAGTTACAAGAAGCTACTCTATTTACCCCTGGTGCTTCAGCAGGATCAAGTAATCCAGTGATTGGGCCAGAAGAAAATTCTAGTAAGGGCAGAACCATTGATGAGCAGCGTCAGATGCTGATCCAAAAAAAACATGGGCAGCTTCTGAGAAAGGCAGCCCAGCCTGAGGAGTACTTGGAGACAAAAAAATGGAAAGTAGTTGAAAGTGGAGCAGCTGCAGAGGCAGTTAGAATATGCACAATTTGTAAAGTTGTATGCAACAGTGATACAGTTTTTAACTATCATCTTGCTGGAGGAAAGCATTCCATAATGGTGAAGAAACAGGAGCTTGGACAATATGACAGCTACTGCTTAAATTTGGGATATTTTGGATGAGAAATTGGGGGAAAAAATCAGACTTTGCATTAACAAACTAGTTTGATCTCAACCGTGGGCGCACTAATTTTTTGGTCTTCTGCTTCTTCTGTCTGATGAGCGTAAATCTTGGGTCCAAGCCAAAAAATATCCATTTAAGGTCCCCTTCGGCCGTAAAAAAGAGAGGCCAAGCATCAAGCTGCCATGTATTTTAGTATTTCATTAATTTGTAATCAGTAATTTGCTTATGGGAACAGGATTTTGATATTGAATGAAAGACTGAGTTTAGAGATTTATTCAGAAGTATAATCTGAAACTTGGGTTTTGCTTCAAAGTCATTGGCTGCAGGGGTTTTTTTTTTTTTTTGGGTATAGGACTATCTATTAAAATTGTATGTCCACTAACTGAAGAATTTACAAGAAATTAACTCCTTGTAACCTCCCCTAGGAAAGGAATCTTGATCGCTGGAGTAAACTCTCTTGCAGTCTCCGTGATAGCACCAGAACCAAGAGAATCAAGAAGGAGAAAACAGAGCCAGGGAGGAAGAAGAACCAGAGAAGGAGGGAGAACCAGAGAGGAGAGAAAAGGGTCTACTTTTTTGATTCATCAGATCAACAAAAGAATTACAGAGCAGTCCCCTTATATATTTGAGGTTGATTACAACAGATAGTTGGGTTAACCAACTAATCAACTATCTAACCCTGCTTCTAACTAACTACAAGCTATTCTAATCGCTAACCACTTGCACAATCAGCATAAGCTTCCAACTGCAAATCTACTTCAGCTCCAGCTCAGCAGTACTGGCCTACCATTTGAGCCTGTGTCACTCCCCCAGGAACTGAACCCTGATTATCCAGGTGGGGGATTGCCAATCAACCCACTACGGTTACGCCGGATCGATTTAAGTAGTAAAAGATAATGAAGAGAAAAGAATGAAAAAGAAGCTTTCTGAAGAAAATATTGTTTTTATTTTGAATTAGGAAAAAAAAAATCAATTAATCTTGTAGGAAAGAAAAATAGTTGTCAGCGTTTTATTTAAAAGATAATGATATAGAAGAAAATTTTTTATATTATTTTTTTATATAATTTTTATATGTTATTAAATAAATAAATATATTTAACATCATAAATTTCACATAATTAAAAAAAATCAATCATTTAAATAATACATTAAATTATACTAAAAAATAATAAAAAAATTATTCCAAAATTATTTCCCTTATTCAAAATAATGAGCAGTAGTACTTACTGATAAAGTTTGCTTCAGGTCGAATTACGTAGTAAAGTTCGTACTTTTATTACATGGTATGTAACATTATTGACAAACAACATTTATTCTGGCATTTTTCTTTACATGGGAAAGAAAATATGATTGCGTGACAACAAGATTGAAAACACTAGAGATTTTCATTATAAGGCAAACTCTATTCGTACACAGAGTCATGGCAACTTGATGGGTTTTATGTTCCATATGTCCTGAGCGTATTCATGGATCGTTCTGTCGCTGCTGAACTTGTATGAGCCTGCTGTATTCAAGATTGACATTCTTGTCCATCTCTGTCATTATCGCCAGTTAAAGAATATCAGCAACAAATAAACAGAGGAGCAACACTATTGCCAGCAGTTGTAAATGAAAAAATCATGACATTGCTAGGTGGTCCTTTTGAATGAAAATGGAATAATCATCAATGTCAAATTATAAGATGTGCAGTGCAGAGATTGAAAAGGGTTTTGAATAATGAGCAATGTCAACATGAAGAAGCATGTTGGAATAATGAGCAATGTCAAATTATAAGGAAAGGGTGTGGATGTAAACTATAGGTTACTCACTTTTTGGTCATGATATGCCTCATCAACCTTCTCTTGGCATTCTATATAACTGGGGAAGTCCTTGCCAACAAGGAAATAATCTCCAAGACCAAAACCTTTGTTTCCTTCCAATGATCCCAAGAGCTCATTATAGCTGCAAGAACCGAAGACACCACTGCTAACAAATTCCTTCACTTCTTCAAATCGAGGGTCTGGAACAAACTGCATTAAGATGCAAGCGAGGTCAAACTGCCATTCTGTGCCCCCTTAAAAGAAGCAATGAAGAAAAAAAAAAACAAAAAACAAAAAACAAAAAACAAACAAATAAACACACTTTTTCTTTAATATATGTCTGCTAAGAGTTTTCAGATTATAAGACATTCCATCTGACCTTCAGAAAATAGAGGGGTCAAAAGATTCAGAATTAAACACAGAAAACTGATAGTTAAAAAGACTTCACCTTTCCCTCAAGCCTTTCTTTCCTAAGCCCTGCAATCTCATGAGCTTTAGCTCCAAAGAGGAAAAAGTTGTCTTCTCCAACCTCTTGCCGTATTTCAACATTGGCTCCATCCAGGGTCCCAATTAGAATACAACCATTCATTGCAAACTTCATATTGCTGGTTCCACTAGCCTCCATCCCAGCAGTACTGCCAAGGTTAAGGAATAAAGAAAGAAAATAACGGGATTCAGATTTCATATAGAACAAATCTAGACAAACTATATAGCAAATAAATTCAATATATCTATACAATATACCTGATATGCTGTGATAGCTCACTTGCAGGAATAAGCAGTTCAGCTACACTGACATTGTAATCGGGGACAAAAATAACCTAAAACAGATCAACAACAATTTACTATATGTGATTAATGAATAATGATACAGTCTAATCAAAATTGCATAGATTTGTCATACAAATGAATCAGCTGTAAGAATGGGCATGCTTTTATAGAGAAATGGTTTTTATTGATTTCATATTGGAAACACAGTTTAAATTAGATTTGGGAACTCTAGTTTAGATTAAGTCCTTTAACACAGCCTATTGTTAGCAGGCAATTGACCTATGATAGGAGCACAATGTACAAGGTCCCTACCCTACATGAAAGCCCTACATGATAGCTTTCCACTTTTCTTTTCCCCACTTCAGGGAAGGACTCTGCTAACATTTAATTATGATATCTAGAAAAGACATACCTTCAATAAGTCACCTATATCAGGATCATGATTAACTGTAGCTCCAACATCAGTGATGAATTTAACAATTCTTTTCGCTTGTACATAAGTAGCAAATGCTTTTCCACCAAATATACAAACTCGTGGCACAAACTTCTCTTGCCTTTCAGAAGCACTCATTTCTTTCATCATCTTGTAGCGGTAAACGATTCCCAAGATATTCAGCAGTTGCCTCTTATATTCATGAATGCGTTTAACCTGAAATAATCAAATCATCTGAAAGTTAAGAAAATTACCCAAGAAGGGTGAGTATCCTACAGAAGCTACAGAAATTCAATGAGGGAGTTCTTTTTAGTTAGTTTATAGAACAGAACATGAAATCTAAACAAATTAGATTTCACTGTTTTAATGACCTTCAGTTAAATGATACCAGCCTCAAACTATTCATGGGTTTAACATCATAATACAATCAACTACAAACCATTAAGCTACTGGATTGTTAGTTAATGATATTGCATTGCTTGATCCTGTCAGCAAGCTTTTAGCTTTAGACCAGAGGTCTATGAACATGATACCATTTTTTTCTCTTTTCTTGCCTAAGAGATCTCGTTATAACATATATTGCTTCGATTACCGATCACTTTTTTAAGAAAAAGAATGTTAAATACAAAAATCACCTGGATATCAAACATTGCATCAGCGCTCACAGAATACCCTGTTTTCTCCTTGATGAGGGATGCAACCTTTAATTTGTTGTTCCTTTTTGCTACCCTCCACTGGGTCTGAAGATCCTCATTATCTGCAAACTATGTATTCACAGAACGCTGATGAGGATCTGTGACAATACAAGCATAGTCAAGCAGTTCTTTACAAATATTTGTGATTGTTAGATTTTGCATATGCAGTGGAAATAAGGATAACAGGTTCACGAATCTCAAAATACCAGCAATAATTAAACAAAGAGGGAGTATACTTTCTACTGAAGAACTTTTCTACTACAATGCTGTTTGTTAAATGGAAGCATTTATGCTGCAGTATGTACATCACTTAAGGAATTTGAGTATTGGAAACGAGAAACGTGAGAAAGCCACTACTAGATGCCAATTTTTTTTTTTTTCCTTTTTCTTTTCTTTTCTTTTCTTTTCTTTTCCTCCCCACTTTTGGTCTTCATTCACAACAGCCTACTGAAAAGCTGGAAACATAGTTTGCAGAAAGATTGTGTGAAGTACTGTCCAAAAATCACTTTAAAGTGAGTTCAAATAACTTTCATTTATATCCCATGATCAGGAATAACAATATCACAGGTTTGAATCCTGCAAGACAGAAACAAGTACAAGTGATTCAACAAAGAAACAATCGTACAACGTATATTTGGATGATTACCTTTTTCAGTTCGGCCAATTTCTCAGTATTTACAACCCACTCTTCTGTGCCTGTCCAGTTGGTTATGATTTTACTCAGATGTGGATTGCAGAAATGGATCCATCTTCGTGGTGTGACCCCATTTGTTTTATTTTGAAATTTGTCAGGCCACAACTGCCAAAATTTTACAACAGAGAGAAATGATGAGGTGTTTCTTGATAGGTGTGAAAGTAAAATAAAGAGAACAAGCATGTTATTAAGCTGCATCATATGTTTACCTTAAAAAAATCATTGAATACTTCTTCCTTGACTATTTCACTATGTATCTCAGCAACTCCATTTACTGCATGACCACCCACAACACATAGGTTAGCCATACGGACCATCTTTGGTGGTTCTGGTACTGGTTTTGGAACCTTTTTCTGTCCCTTAATTCCTTCTTTTACAGGTTTGTTTTCTTCATCAACAAGTTTATCCTCTTCTTTTGCTCCTTTTTCTTTTCTAGACTTTTCAAGTTCCTTCTTGGGAGCAACAACAGTATCTGCCTTTGGTTTAACCAGTAAGTCTGAAAAGGCAGCAGGCAAAGCAACATTTTCTAGAATTCTCATCTTCTTTAGTTTTTCCTCCAGTAAGTCAGAATCTGTTTTACCGTACTTCGAAACTATGGTGTGAATGAGCTGCAAGAGATATGAATAAGGAAGAAATTAGACCTTAACAAAAAACCCAAAGGAAGAAACCATTGACGTATATGTTGCAGTACAACCTCCTCATCAATCATTTCTATGATCTCTACATGTCGAGGCAGCAGCTTCTGCATAAGTTCTAAGCTCCATTTCTCCAATGCCTCAGGCAGAACGGTATGGTTTGTGTATGCCACAGTTCTAGTAAAAAGTTAACAGACTGTGGAGGATAAATATTGTAAATTAACAAATAAAAACATAAAAACAGAAGAATGTCATGGTATCTGCACAGTTTTTCGTAGAAGACCATACCAGTTATAGAATGTATCATAGACTAAAATAACAAACATTGAGAGAGATGATAACATATAACACTAGATGAGGAACATACCAAGACGCTAGCCCCTTTGACATGCAAATGTATTGTTAAATAGAACTCAAGCAAAAGAAAAATGCTAGACCAAGGATATAAAAGACTTTCAGATATGGGAAAATATACATAAAGCTTAACTGTTCGGAACAGAAAGGGTGCTAGTTTGACATGGAGAATATATTTAGACTACTGTTTGAGTTTCTCAATAATACCCTTCCATGGTTTTCAAACCAATAAAAATGATCAGGTATAATTCTACAATGCATGAGCAAAAAACAATTAGAAGTACCTTTGAGTAATATTCCATGCCTCCTTCCAACTTAAACCTTTCAAATCCATCAAAATTCTCATCAACTCAGGAATGCAAAGAGTGGGGTGAGTATCATTCATTTGCACTGCAACCTTCTCAGGAAAATCTCCCCACTTGACATTTTCTCCAGATCTTCTCTCAAAACGCACAATGATATCCTGTAGAGATGCTGAGCATAAAGTGTATTGTTGCTTCAAGCGAAGAATCTTGCCTTCAACTGATTCATCCCCAGGGTAGAGTACGTAGCAAATCTGATATTAAAACAGAGGATTACACTCATAATAATTTTCTGTTTGGTATCACATTCATATTTTGAAAATGGAAACAAGGGAAGGAACATTTTAGTTAAATTACAAAAATCCAATTTTTGGTTGAACATAAATGAACGAAGGATTGTGAGTGATCTTAGTGCAAAAGGATATCCCTTTTGATGTGAAAAAAGAATTGTAATAAAGAAAAGTTTATACCCAACCCCCCCCCCCCCCCCCCCCCCCTCTCCCTCCTTATATGACCCCAAGCAGTTCAGATTCACTGATGAAAGTTCAAATAGATTTTCTGATCAATGACTTTGCCCACAGAGACACATAAGTTTTAAGCAGGATCATTGCGGGAAATTCATAGGGTGAAAATTAGACCTCACCTTTTCGGCATCAGTGAGGGCCTCAGCTGCTTTGGCATGTTCTCCAGAATTAAAAGCTGATAGATCAAAATCTTCTGCTGCAGCTTTTGTCGACCAAAGTCGCAGGCTTATTGTGGTTTTAGTGTTATATCCTGGTATTGGAACATCATATGCAACAGCTTTTATATCCTCTCCTCCAATCCAATGTTTCTTTCCATCTGATCCCAATACAACTTTTCCATAGAATTTTACAGGATATGATACATCATGTCTCACAATTTCCCAAGGATTGCCCATCTACAGAGGTAGACCACAAGTATGCCACAGATAAAGAAAGTGAACCATACAATTGAGAAGAAAAAAACAGCTAAAGTTTAGGTCATGAGCATTCATATTCAACAAATTGCTAAAATGTGAGAGAAAATAGAAAAGCAAGCATACCTCAAGCCAATTTTCAGCAACTTCTTCCTGCCCATCTTTTGTAATTCTCTGTTTAAATAAGCCATACCTGTATCTAAGTCCATAACCCCATGCTGGGTAATTTAATGTTGCCAAAGAGTCTAGGAAACAGGATGCGAGTCGACCAAGACCCCCATTCCCAAGTGCAGCATCAGGCTCCTATCAAACAACCACATAATTTGATGGTATCACAAGAAGTTTGTAAAGGCAAGGTACAAACATACGTACATCCACACATACAATAACAGGTTCATTTTAAGGAAAGAAACAAGAAAATAGAGACACACTGTCATATATGGTATAGTAATATGATTCGAGGAAATTAAGGAAAATGCACCTAGAGTAAGTTATTCAAAACAAGAAACAGAATACATGGTAGAAGTAACTTCTAGCAAAATTACAAAAAAACCACTACACCTGGCAAGCTATATTTTCCAGATCGTGTCCAAGCTTGCCCAAGGCCTCTGCATAAGCACCAGTAAGCCCCAAATTACCAATTGCATTCAACAACGCCCTACCCTACAAAAAATAGAACATGATAAAAATAATGACAATTTTAAAGTATGCACTGCCAAATGAAGTACTGCATCTTGGAACAAATACAAACCTGTAGAAATTCCATTGATAAATAATATGCCTGCTTTGCATTTGACTTTTCATAATAATTATATGTCTCATTCCAGTTCACAACAAGAGCATCACGAACACTTTGTGCGGTTGCAAAGAAGGCCTTTGGAAGATCAAAACTTTCAGGAGAAAACAATGGAGTGAACTCTGCATGGTGTTTGATACTTGAGGCTATAGATGAAGCATCTGAATTGAAAATATTTGCAGCACTTGCACCTTCTGTGAAAGGGACAGAGAGTATTAAGAAATTGTTTTACAGCATATCATTTAACTAATTCCACCCCCTTCTCAAATTACTAAGTGCATCAAATCTATAGGAAACTCATTTCAAGGGCCCATCCAATCCAGAATATGAACCACAAAGCAGATAAACAAACCAAGTTACAAACTTTTTTTTTTTTTTTTGGTAATCAACACCAAGGTACATATTTTACTTCAGCTAGCAATTATACTATTGAATTTGTGATCTGACAATCGATTAATATTTTTAGAAGGGTAAGAAAATAAGGGAATTGATTCTAAGAAAGGAAAGTGTCATCTGTTTTAGCAACAATGTTAATCAGAACTTCTATGCATAGAAGCCGAGGAACTGACCATCATACACGAACTCAAAAACATAAAGAAAACCAACAAAACCTAAATCTCTGGTTAATCCCCAAACAAACAAACACAAATCTTCACGCCAAAATGTAATTTCAGGCACAAAAAAAACGGATACAAACTTACTTCTCAAACACAAAAGACAAGCACATAGAAAAAGCTGGCACCTTTTTGCTGTTTAGCAACCGGATCCTTAACCTTCTGTCGAGGCTCACTAGACACATTCTTCAACGGGAACGACCTCCTCAAAGGGCTCGACCTCCAGCTCCGCCTCAAAAACAGCTGCCTGGATTTGCTGCGGTCGAAACCGATCAACTTAGAGATCGCATTGCAGCCTGAAACCGCATCTGTTCCACTCGGAGTCGCGGAAAACCGACAGGTAGCCATCGGCACCGATCACAGTACGGTGGAGAGTAGGGAAGATGGAAGGTAGTGTATAATGTATAAAGCAATATATATAAAAGTGGAGGACGATCTGACTTCGTTATCTGAAACCGGTGACGGTGACCGCTTCACGAGCCGTTCAATACGAACCTACAGTATTTTACGAGTGGATTTGGGGTGTAGATGAAATTGGATGCAGTGGGGAGTATTTTGAAATTCCACTTGGTGAAAATCTGAGGAAGCCACGTCGGAAAATGCATAGGATGCGGTGACGTGAAACGGTGATGTGAGTGATTTGTTAGTAGGATATTTTTGGGTAAAGGACAAACCGAATGGATAATATAGAGGTGCAGCTCAGGTTCTTTGACGCCGTCCACTTGTAACGATTTCATTGAATTTTAGCAATGATCGTGCTACTTACTTGATTATGGAAAAGAAAATGATTAGAAACAATTTTTTGCATTAATTTTTTTGGAAAAAAATACATTATCAGTCTCTATTTTTTTTTATACTAACTTTTGATATCTATAACTAACATTGAATTTTAAAAAAATTAAGTTATTTTTACTTATATCATCAAATTATTAATTTAAAATATATCTTATTAAAAATTAATATTTAAGTTTAGAAACTGATTAAAATTTTAGTTTTTAAATATATGTTAAAATTTTAATTTTTTTTTAAAATCAAAACTCATACGCACCAATTTTTTTTATAATTATATACGTTATTTAAATAATTAATTTTTTATTAATTTAAAATATGTTAAAATTTTAATTTTTTTTTAAAATCAAAACTCATACGCACCAATTTTTTTTATAATTATATACGTTATTTAAATAATTAATTTTTTATTAATTTAAAATCTATAATATTAAGTGTATTTATTTATTTAATAATATATAAAAATATTATCCTTCTATAACCACTCTTATTTTAAAAACTATTATATTGTTCTAAACAATCTAAACCATTCAAATAAAGGCATTAGAGAGGGTAAGCTATATTAATTCATTCTCTTTAGGTATGGTTACATTTTTTTTTTTTAATATGAGAGTGAAACTCGAACCACACATTTTATTTAAAATGAGAATGCTTTTACGATAATAAAGTGATCACTAAACTACAAGAATTTCTTTTCTGATTATGGTATTTTAAAACTATAAGATTATGTAATATTATTTTTAAAATTATTGATTTTATTTAATTTAACAATTAAAAATAACAATAATTAATAAAATAATAAATATTTGTTATTTACTAAATTAAATTAAATTTATAAATTAATATTTCTAAACATTATAAGTAATCTCTTGAAAAAAAATTACAAATGAATGAAATATCAATCAAAATAATTATGTGGTCTTAACATTCTTTCCTCCTTCTTCTTCTTCTTCTTTTTTTTAAAAATGGTCTTGACATTCTTATGGGTGGTGATCACCACACCCATTCAGTTCTTACAAGCTAAGAGTCGAGACTCTGGCCACCGTCAGCACATGGATAAGAACACCATGGTTGCTACTTGCCAGTCAGGTAGACGGTTCTTCAATCATCAGCATTAACCACTCATTTAAACTACCAGGTGAAACCTAGAAGGCTAGTTGATTATAAGTCTTAAAAAAAATGCACCTCTAGTTTTCGGGACTGGATTCAAAACTCTCCTCTCCCAAATTTGTATCCGTTCAAAACAACAACAAAAAACAAAAGAAAAGAAAAGAAAAAAAGATTACCAGGTGAAAGATTCATGCACAGAAATAACATTTCCAGATATCACTGCAATCATATGTTAAGAGTTTTGGCCCCAGAAAAATCTAGCAGGGTAGCATATGAACCAACTGAAGGTGTTCGTGCTCCGGACATTAGGGGCTCTCGTACCCAGAGAGTCGGCTTAGCTCATTTATAGTCTTACCTCCTTCTTGCTTGTGGTTGAAGGATTTAAGCAAAGGAACTTCATTTATGAGATTAATGTACTCGACTAGAAATGAGTTTGTGCTGAACTTTTTCTTCTGCTTTTGACATTTTCAACCGTAGGGTCCTGAATCTGGAGTACCTTTGTTATACAACTAGGTCCAAACCCTAAAGTACCTTAATGCTATATTTGAGAGACACTTGTTAAGGTGACATATTGAGTTTACAAATGTTTTGGATTAAACTAAGCAGTCCATTAGATATCTTGGAATGTTGCACAAAGCATGCACAGAATCAGAATGCAGTAATACAAAAAGAGAGTCTGGATTCTCACTAGTTCTGAAGAGTTATTGAAGCTAATGTGTCTCGAGCTATGCTTTCAATCTCTCCTAGTACAAAATCCCCAAGAGGAAAAAATTAATGTGGAAGAACTTCAGAGGAAAAGATAGAGAATGAAACACAATTATGAACTAGAATAAAAATAAACACTAATCTGGGGCAGTATACAAAAATGTAGTCATTGAGAACACAGCAGAACACACACAACGCTTTCAGAAAAGCAGATTACTAGCAGACCCCTTAGAACACCATTTGAATTCATCTCACATCACTGAAACAAACAATTAGAGTGGCAAGTTACAAATGGTGTCTTCCATCAGGCAATCTTCACACCCTTATTCTTATTCAAATCGACCCTAGATTCCATCCTTGCAGGCAATGGAGCAGAGAACATTAAATTATAGGCTCCATCTTCATCTTCCTCGCCAATCTGACTGTTATATTGTTTGCGCAAATTCCCTCTGCTGTTCCTTTCCTCATCACTGCTCTGCACGGATTCTCCATTTTCCATTTGGGCTTCCTGATCATTTGCAGTTTCTTTGCAAGGATTCTCTAGAATCTCTCCACGATCGTCACTTGAAACACTCTCATCAGTCAGGGTACCTTCTCCAATTGAACTGTTTTCATTACGGCTGACATTGCTGAAAACTTTATAGACATTCCCATTCTCAGCAAAGCTCACAGTTTTCTTCACTTTAGGTTGACTCACCTGCCTTTTCACCAAAACCCTATTTCTAATTGGGGAAGCGCAAACACCAGTTTTAGCATTGATGGAAATCCTAGGGTTCTCTACTTCATCTATTACTTGGCAAAACCCTTCAAGCTCCACACTATCTTCATCCTCATTTCTGACAACCCTAGGACTCCCACGAATCTTTTCAACCCGGTTCCTCAATCTTTCTACCACTTCTCTTCTATCCTGACCAACCTCTCCAAATCTAGACCCTGAAACCCTAGATTTGTTACCATTGACAACAACTCCCACATTCTTTGCAGTCCTATAGTAAACTTTATGCTCCTTAGCAGCAATCCCATCAATATAATCTAAAAACAAAAGCAAATCTCTGCTAATTGACCGTTTCCCATCTCTGATCAATGGATCAGCACCCTGAAAACAGAACCTCCTTTTTCAAAATCCAGGAAAAAAAAGGAAACAAGAAACTGAAAACTAGGGATTTAAGCATTAGTTCTTTACCTGAATACAGTCAAGGGTGACGAGCAAGCCCATGGCTTTTCGAGAAACTGCATCTAAATCGAAATGGGTTTTATTGGAAATGGAAAGCTTGAGAGAACTGAAACTGGATTTAATAAGAGCAAGCTCTTTAAGCTGCCTAAGGGTCTTCGATCTACGAACAAGAAAGGCACGAAAATGGGTTTGAATAACTCGAGCAGCTGTATCCCTAAGATAGCGACACGGGTAAGCACTATATGTAGAAAAATGCTGGAGAGAAGATTCCAGAGCTTCGATGCGACTGAGAAGAGAGGGGAGGACGAACTCCACATCCTGGTGGTTTTCCTCGCGTCGATGGGAATGGGGTCTGTGTTTATAAAAGGATTGATTTTGATGGCTTCTCTCGAGATGGATTTGATCTGAAGATTGTTGTTGTTGGAGGAGAAGAGAGGCAAGCGCTTGTAGGAGTGAGTCAGTTGTTTGTACTAGTGGCGGCGGCGGCGGCGGCGGCGGCGGTGGAGGATTGCAGCAGTGGCCGGATGAGCAGCAGGTGGTGGTTTGGTGGTGGTGGTGGTGGTGAGAGGCCATGATTTGGCCGGAGATAGTGAGGATTATGAAGCGATTTGGGGTTTTGGGCCAAACAGGAGGCGGAATAAAGCTATTGGGATTGCGCAAAAGTACGGTGCTTTCTTTGTTTTACGGAACATTTTGAGGGTGACAGCAGTTTTGGATCGAAAGGCACGGCGGGCTTCGTCCTTCTTGGTCAAGGACTTGGGACACGACGGTCTGTTCGATGAGAAAGTCTGGGGTATCACCGGGATACCACTGACGTGGTATCCCGGTCCAATTAAAAGCCACCAAGTCAGCTTTTTTTTACACCTCATCGTTGCATTATCCAACGGAGAGGAAAACAAACGGGAAACCCAAATTTAACTAACGGCAAGTTTAATTAACGGAAAATCTTTCCAAAACAAAATTTGTTTGCCGCCTTTCCCGCTTCTCTCATTTTCTTTCTTTTTTTCGTTGCATTATTTTCCAGACTTTTAGTATTGTTGTCAATTACAATCTCTCCTCACTCAAACCATTAACCTTTAGCAAAAATACAAAAAAACAAAGATATTTAGTTGAAGATTTTCCCTGTTCCATCTAATATGCTCTTCTTTCGTGAATCAAAAAGTAGGCCTTCTTCATCTTCTTGATTCTTCTCCAAAGGAGGTTTGTTTCCATTATTGTATGCTTTGGGCAATTCTATTATTAATTGGATTTATGCTCTTTTTTTTTGTAATTTGTTACAATAGACATAGTAAGTTTTTTAACTTTTTAAAATTACAAATGATTTTCTCTCTAGAAATCTTTTATGGCTTTTGAGATTGGAAGTTGTTCTAAATTTGATGATAAGCTTAAAGTTGGTGTAAAAGTTAAATCTGAAGAAGAAGCATATCATTTTTATAATGAATATGGTTTATCAAAGGGCTTCAGTATAAGGAAAGGGAATATGCGGTTTGTTGATGGTACTATTCGACAACGAGAATACATATGTTCAAAGCAAGGATTTCGTAAGGATGGAGATTCTTGTAATGTGAAAAAGATTAATCATTTAGAGACAAGAACGAGATGTAAGGCTAGAATTCGATTCACTGTATCAAATGGAATTTGGGAGGTTACTCACTTTAATGATGGGCACAATCATGAACTTGCAAATCAAAAAGAGAGGCACAATTTAAGATCTGGAAGGAAGATATTAGAAGTACAAGGTGATGTAATAAGTTCAATGGTGAATGTAGGTATCAAACCAACAAAATCATACTCATTCTTGGCCAAGGAATTGGGTGGAATAAACCATGTTGGATTTACTCAAAAGGATTGCCACAATTACTTGCATTCTATGAGAAAAGTGATGATTGAAGCAAGGGATGTTCAAGGTGTTGTGAATCATTTCATTCGTAAACAAGTTGAAGATCCATTATTTTTTTATTCAGTGCAAGTAGATCAAGAAAATCGAATGACAAATTTCTTTTGGAGGGATGGTAGATCGAAGTTGGATTATGATTCATTTGGAGATGTCATCATCTTTGACACTACTTATAGGACTAATCGATACAACTTAATTTGTGCCTCTTTTGTTGGAATTAATCATCATTGGAAGAATGTGTTATTTGGTTGTGCATTTCTTGCTAATGAGACTATTGAATCATTTGTTTGGTTGTTTGAGACATTCTTAGAAGCTATGGGAGGAAGACAACCTAAGAGTATTTTCGCAAATCAAGATCAAGCAATAGCAAATGCTATTGGGAAAGTATTCCCTGAATCGCGTCATTGATTATGTTTATGGCATCTTTCTAATAATGCCAAGAAACATCTTGTTGGAATTTATTGGAATCCAAATTTCAATTCAAAATTTCATAAGTGTTTTAGTGGTTGTCTAGATGAAATGGAATTTCAATCCACTTGGAATGATATGATCAAGACCTTCAATCTAGAGAATAATGGGTGGCTTAATAGGTATTTTATCGAAACTCTATTTCTTTTTTACCATCATGCTTTATTTCTTTAAGAATGCAAGTTAAAAGAGAAAAATAAATAGAGATCACTAGCATGCTTTATTTCTTTTAATTAATCATGTTAATTTGCAAGCCTTATTGTTTCTTTGTAGGTTAAATGAGACCAGAGAAAAATGGTGCACTGCATTGAATGTATATATTTTTTTTTTGCTAGAATGAAATCAACTCAAAGAAGTGAGAGTATGAATAGTGTTTTTCATCAAATTTTGAGTACTTCATTAACTCTCATTCAAGTGATTGAATATTATGAACAAAAGGCAGAAGATATGCGTCAAGGAGAACGAGATGAAGACTTCCGTTGCAAAAATGGTTTCTTTGTTGATTTGATTAGTCATGGAGGAATTTTAGGACATGCTACTACTATCTACACAATAAGGGTGCTTCAAATGTTCAAAGAAGAGTTTTTCAAGGGTTTAGGCTTGAATTGTGTTGAGGTAGAGAAGGATGGGACAAAACTTTTATATGAACTTGACAAGCCATGTTCAAAAAGAGTCTTGAAAGTCGAGTTTGATAAATCTGATTTTAGTATCTCCTGTACTTGCAAGTTATTTGAAACTTTGGGGTTATTATGTCGTCATGCTTTAAGGGTACTTTTTGTGAATAATGTGAACAAAATACCAGTTCAATATATCATGTAGAGATGGACAAAGAATGCAAAAAAGGGGTTGTTTATAAACCGGTTGATTCAACTTGTGATAGTGAAAAATCTGCTTGCCTTTTACGTTTTAGTGAGTTGAACCATATTGGCCACAATGTTTTTGATAAAGGTTCATTCACTATTGAGGGGACTAAAATTGTGAAGATGAAATTAATGGAGGCTTTGGAGTTGATTGAAAAAGATTTAGAAAGCTCAACTGAAGTTGCTGCAACAGAAATGCATGTAGATGATAACCAAGTGGTATTGGACCCTCAATGTGTCAAAAAAAAAGGACTAACTAATGCTAGAATCAAAAGCCAATTGGAAAAAAAAAATGAAGAAGAAGAAGAAGAAGACCAAAGGTGCAAAAACTTTTAATATGGTGCCAAAGATGAGAGAAACAGCTATCGAAATCCAACAGAATTTTGCACCTCAAAATCTACAACCTGAAGTGTTTGGTAAGAATTAAGAAGTTTTTTTTATTGATTATTTGTTGCAAGTGCATTATGTTGCAAATCTAATGAGTAGAAGCCTATTAGTGTATAATGTTGATAAATTTAATACAACTAACATATTTTTCTTTTTCTAATTCAGAAAATCAAGTATGGAATAATAATGTTGAAACATCATTAGATGTTGGTCTTTATAATCAGGTACTTGTTGGTCTTTATAGTCTGATTTTGTCTAATCTTATTTAATTTATTGACACATAACTTCATATTCATGTTCAGGGTACTAGTTCACCATGTGTGTCTTTTTATCCACAAACAACTTTTACGGAAATGCTTCAAGATGTTAATCCTATTTTGACTCCTCCAAATTTTCAAGATTTTAATTCCATTTTGACTTCTTCAAATCAGGTAATCCAAGATTTCAATCCCATTTTGACAATTTATGAGTTGGCTTTTAAGATTTGATAAGATGTAACTCATTCTTTAACAAGCATATGTATTCTTGTATCAACAGGTTGCACATGACTATGAAATATTAACAGAGCAGAATCATAAAAAATATGGATAAATTATGAGTCATTTTGTAGATCATATGATGGTATTTTGGTATATTAGATGATTATATAGAAATTGAATTATACCTTTTGTGTTGCACAATGATTTTATATAAAACTTTTATTAACTTGCATTAGTTACTCATATTTAGATGATAATCTATTTCAAGAGCTAAATTTATATCAAAACAACACTTTTTTATTAGAAAAATGAACTTTTATTAACAATAAAATAATATTCCCATATACATTGCAATTCTCTAAAAAAAATACAAGGCAATTTTCTTGTGAAAATGATACAAGACAATTTTCTTGACCAAAAAAAAAAAAAACAGAGCAATTCTTGAATCTTGATGTTCCCTTTCTGTTTTTCTTCCAGTTGTCATTGTGCCATGGCCAACTCCCTAAATGGGGTTCCATAGACAATGAAAAACCAGCTTCTTTGTTCTTTAAGTTTTCGTCCCATTCTCAATCTATATGTTAGTGGAAGCCAGCTTCTTTGTACTTTAAGTCTTTTTAAGTCTTCATCCCATTCTCAATCTATATGTTAGTGGTCTGAGGGTTTATAAGTTGCTTAGCTAACTAGAAATCAACCACCTGCATAGCAAACAAGCTAAAAAAATGACAAGAAAAGGCAAGAATTTCATCTTTCAATGCTATGGATGCAAGTTACATATTATTACACTAAGGGCATAAAAAAGACATGCCAAACTTATCTCCAATCAAGATAATATCTAGACTCAATAAAGGATTAGCAAGTGAAGTTTACCCAACTGAAATACTTAAGTGCATTATGATTTTCATGTCCTACATTTCCTTTACTTGGCCTCCCAATATTTGGCTCATGGCTTATGATATCTATATTCCTTTGATTGCATTGCTATAGGAAGTACTGACTTTGTTTGCGATTGCTTGAAAGGAAATTGCATGTTGCAAATGTCAACTAAAGAATGCAATAAAGTTTACCCAACAAAGAATGCCCCATCGATGCCATAAGTCAAGAAATACATCTAAACATAGAAATTTTGTGTAAAAGAATAAAATCTTCCTCAAGCTTACTTAAACATTGTTCCCCTGTAGGTAATCTCTTACTCAGGAAATACATCAAACACTTGGTGGGCATGAAAAATGTTTAATTTCTTATAACTAATTCTAACTATTCTTCCTTCAACCAAATCAACCAAAAGGCATACATCCACAAATTACACAAGCAAAACTTAGCAATTGCAAATTATTAATTAAAAATAACTATACCCAAGCAAGATTAACTTAATAGTTAGTTTTACCGAAAAACTTAGCAATTGCAATCTCAAATTGTAATAGCACTAGTGAGCCTCTACAGATGTCGTGAAGAGAAGAATATGGTAGCTATGTACAAAAATAAAATTAGAAAAAAATAAAGGAAAGAGAAAAGGAAAAAGACGTCGAAGGAAGGGCTGGGGAGATGCTGAAAAGAGAGTCTGGTGAGCCTCTATAGATGCTGTGAAGAGAAGAATATGGTAGCTGTGTATAGAAATAAAATTAGAAATAAAAAAATTAAAAGAATTAAAAAAAAAAGGGAAAAACACATAGAAGGAAGGGCTCCGGAGATTGTTGAAAAGAGTCTGCTGCGAAGTATGTTCTGAAAGGATTTGCCTACCATGAGTTAAATTTAGATTTGGCGTTTGTTTGCCTCTCTGTTAGGTAATTGATGAGGTGTAAAAAAGGCTGACATGGTGATTTTTAATTGGACCAAGATACCACGTCAGTGATATCCCGGTGATATCCCAGACTTTCTCCTGTTCGAGACGATGCTTACAATTTAGTGGAACGAGGATAGTGAATAATAATAGTAACAGTGGATAGCGGGTAATAAATAACGATTTGTGGATGATGAATAGTAAAAAAGAAATAATGGATAATAGATCAATTATTCAATAGATATAATTTTTTAATTATATAATAGTTAATAGTTATTATTTAATATTAAATTATTAATAATATATTTAAAAATAATTAAATATATATATTTTTAAATAATTTTTACTTTTTAGCATTAAAATTATTGATTTTATAAAAATAATTATAAAAATAAAATAAAAATAATTATTACACCCTCATTTTTATTTTTAACAAAAAAAGAATTATATTATTTTCAAATAAAAATTAATCAGTTTGTCTAATTAATAAATTTTATTTTTGAAGATAATATATTTTTGAATAATAAATTAATGTAAAAAATAAAAATATTATAATCACTTAATATTATGAAGGGTAAAAAACAAAATTAAAACTTATTAGATATATATTAATTAAAAATTGTAACCAAAAATTAAAAAATTAAAAAAGATAAATTTGACAATAAAATTAAAAATCGTCTTTGGTATGAAAAATTACATAAATTAACTTTTTTAATCCATTAACGATCTGAACTCTAATCGTTATTCGTTAATCCCAAAGTTAAATAAATTTTTTTATCAAATACCTTATTTATAATTATTTTAAAATATATAAATTTACCAAACACTTATACTTAATGACTTAAGCAAATCTATTAACCACTACAGTAATTAAAACCACTGTATCGAATGGTACCGAGATTTCCTGGTAAATATATGGTCCCTCAAATCTCACTCCGATTACTAATTAAGTCTGCAACGTTTGAGATCGATGAATTAACTCCGAACCAAGGGTTGGATGATGGATCAACCATACTACCTATTCTATGGGCCAAATTCAGTGACAAAGATAGTTTTAGATTAACACACTAAGTCACAAGCGTTACATGTAAGAAGTTATAGTGTGTTTGGTTTGATGGGACTATGGGAGGGCTAAGGGGAGGAAAATAAAATTTTTTTCAATTTATTATTTTTCAATTTATTAGTTAACAAAAATAATTAGAAGGGAAAGGAAAACTTTTCCTATTTGACTAATCTCCAAGTTTGTAAATTAGGAGAAACCGTTATGTCCAAACCCAAAAAAAAAAGGAGATACATGTCTTAAAATGCTAGTGATATATGCTAAAGGTAAAAGGAATCTCAATGCATAAAGGTCTGTTGTTCCTGTCTTGAAGCCACTCCCTTCTCACCTTAATTAACATAATGCCAATCTCTCCTGAAGCACTAGGGAGCCAAGCAATTCCTTACCGGAACCGACCAACTCCAAGTACTCACCATCACCTCTGGCCTTCAACTGTTTAACACTACCACTCCTACATCACCGCGACACATAGGTCTTTGTGGGAACATTCCGATTGCCTATTGACTGTTTGATGAACTGCCTGAACGAAGCTCGTTCTTGTAAACGCCATGTTAAGGATGTGTGTCAGTGAAGGCAAGGGAACCCCTTGTCCCCTTATCTGTTTGTCATTTGTATGGAAATCTTGTCCAGGCTTCTTAATAAAGCTGCTCAAGAAGGAAGACTACCATTCCACCCAAAATGCAGTAAAGTAGGCCTCACCCATCTATGTTTTGCAGATGATCTCTGGATTTTTACAGACGGATCACCCAGGGCTATAAGTGTTGTTGACTCTATTCTAAAGGAGTTTTATTCAATAACAGGGTTGAAAGTAAATTACCAGAAGTCAGAGATTTACTATTGTGGAGTACAAGACAGTATCATCAAGAATTTGGCTGCAACTTATGGTTTTAAGCTTGGGACCCTTCCTGTAAGGTACTTTGGAGTGCCTTTGATAACAGGCAGATTAACAGATGCAGCACTTAAGCCTCTCATCTTGAAAATTACTGATAGAATCAACTCTTGGACTTCAAGACATCTATCTTTTGCAGGAAGGCTTCAACTCATCACTTCAGTTTTTCGAGGTATTACCAATTTTTGGTGCTCTGTTTTTATCCTTCCCAAGAGGGTTATTAAGTCAGTAGAGGCTATATGTAGTGCTTTTTTACGTAAAGGCAGAGCTACAGATGCTAGAGGAGCAATGGTTAGCTGGGAGATTGTTTGTAAACCAAAAGTGGAGGGTGTCCTAGGCATAAAACCATTGCAGGCCTGGAATAAAGCTTGTATTTTAAGATTCATCTGGTTGCGTTTCTCTAAAGCTGGTTCAATTTGGGTGGCTTGGGTATAGGCATATCTGATTAAAGGGAAAAGTTTCTGGTCATTAAAAATACCAGGTGACACCTCTTGGCTTTGGAGGAAAATTTTAAGCTTGAGGCCTGCGGCTAGATATTTGATCAAGCACATGATAGGAAATGGGGAGAATACTTTTCTCTGGTTTGACTTTTGGCATCCAACAGGGCCACTACTTGAGGTTTATGGTCAGAAAATTGTACAGGACACAGCAATTCCATTGCAAGCAAAGTTGTCTCAAGTGGTGCAAGGTAATTTCTGGAAATGGCCCCCTGCTAGGTCCCCAGAACTATTACAAATTCAAATTGCATTATGTGGCAATCTGTATCCAAATGAGGCAGGAGAAGACTCAGTTATATGGCTTGCATCTCCATCAAGATCCTTCAAAATTGGTTACACATGGAATCATTTGAGGGAAAAACAAGCAAAAATGCCTTGGTTCAGGCTTGTTTGGTTTGCAAACTCTATACCAAAACATAGCTTTATGTCTTGGCTTGCTATTTTGCACAGGCTTTCAACTAGAGCAAGACAAAAGTCATGGTCTCCCCACATAGATGCTACTTGTGTGTTGTGTGGGGCTGAAAATGAGACTAGAGACCATTTGTTCTTCTCATGCTCCTACTCTAGGACTGTTTGGGATGTTATTTCCTCCATGTTAGAAATTCCATCCACATTCTCTTGGCAATCTGCTTTGTCTTGGTTGTGTCACAAGGCCAAGTGAAAATCATTGTACAGCAGTCTTATAAGATTAGCATGGTGTGCAACAATATACCATATTTGGATAGAGAGGAATACTAGAATTCACAAACGGACATTCAAAAGTGAGTTTGCAATTGTAAGTAAGATACAAATAGATGTCCGTGACAAGGTACTTAGTTTTGCTAGAGCAAAATCTTCTCTTATAC